CACAGACGCGTGCGCGGTTTTGCGTGGATACGACATCGAATCGGTCTGCTAGCTAGCCAGCCACACATGCATCGCAGGGATATCGTGCCACCTGATGTGTCAGGCTAAGCTTTACTTGGCAAAGGCTTGGTCTCGCATCTGCCTCGCGCCAAGGGTGAACGACAGCTCGAGAACAGGGGTAATTCGTCCTACATACGTAACATGTGCAATGTCTGTGTTCGCAGTGCCTTGTTAGAAGTATTCCAATGTTGGTTGACGTGCAAAAGTTCATGTGTTATCGAGACTATCTAAGTACATCTCCCAGCCAATCCTCTCTGAGCAACTCAGCCATCACGCCACGCATGTCAGCCGCAGTCTAGACCACACAATTGCCGGACCGATAGCACGACGTCAACATTAAACATCTGGACTAAAGGTTCACTCGATTGAAAGCGATGCTTGTAGAGGGAAGAATACTGGCAATGAGGAAAACGAAGCAAATAAGTGGGAGTGTTGAGTACAAGCAAATGCGATGTGGCTTGATGAAGAATGCTATCGAGCCTTGCGAACCCACTCCGCCAAACAACAAACAGACACGGTAGAACTTATGTACATATACAGTATCAGGGTAATTAAGTGGATGCCCCATAGGTAAGCAAAGGGGTGCGAAAGAACAAACAGCCACCGCGAGCGAGATTAGAAGCCGAACGGGTTTTGGGGTGCTGGTTAACGGTTAGAGAGGTCTTGCATAGATATTTGTTCGAACACTTACTGGCATTGGCAAGGTTCGCCCTCCCCGTCGGCTGGGGTGTTAGCTTCTTTGCGGGCTGTACACCAAACTTGATGGTCGGTGGTGGGCCAGTCTTCTGGGGCACTAGAGGCTGCGCCTGGGGCATTGGCGGCATGGGAGGGACAGGCGGCGGGCTTTGGTTCGACATGTAGCCAGTCGGCTGTGGCGCAAGGGCCGGGGGCAGGAAGCGGTTGACGCCAGTCGCCTGGGGGTTAAGCGGCGATGGTTGGAACGAGTTGTACCCCGTAGGCTGAGCCTGTAGTGGCTGGAAAGGTGCCCGCGGTGGGTCGGCAAAAGGGCTGCCATTCCCGAAGCCTTGTGTGAAGTGTGGCTGCTGCTGCTGCTGGAAACCTGTCTGCATGGGCTGCTGGAAGCCAGTCGGCTGCTGTTGTTGGTATTGGGCGAAGCCAGTCTGCATTGGCTGCTGCTGGGGTGGGGACATGGGGTTGTAGCCTGTGGGTTGAGGCATCATGCCGTTCTGCTGGAACCCGAAACCGCCATTTTGCTGTGGGAAGCCTGTCATTTGCTGTTGCATTGGTGGCATACCCTGCATGCCTTGGCCCTGTCCAGAGTTTTGACCCATGAGGTTCGGGTTGTAACCTGTGAGCTGAGGTTGTAGGGGTGGTGGAGGACCGAAAGCACTTTGTTGTGGGTTCTGAGGGGCAGAGGAAGAACGCTGCGGCGGTGGAGCAATGAGACCTCCCGGACCCTGCTGCTGGGGAGCTTGTGGGCGCATGCGTGGTGGGGCCATGTTGTGAGGTTGGGTAAGGGCCTTGATAGCTGCAACCTGCTCGAAAAGGGTAGGAGTAGCGCCTGTTGGTTGTGGTTGCTGAGCGGGTGCCGGAGGCTGTTGAGCAGGTGCTTGTGCTGGCTGAGGTGCTGGAGCAGGAGGCGTTGGCTGCGCGATCTCGTCAGGCTTGAGTGCAGGCATGTCTAGAAGAGACAAATCGTTCATGGATCCAGTCAACTGGGGTGGTTTTGCGGCAGGAGCTTGTGCTGCTGGTGGAGATGCTGTCTTGTCAGATGTTGACTTGGATGGCTTGACATCCCACGCATTGTCGTCAAACCCATTCGCTGTCTTGTCAGATGTCGCTGCTGACGTCCCGTCTGCGGGCTTCTTAACGGTGTCATCGGACTTCGGTTCAAACGCCTTTGGATCAACGACATCGTTCGTCTCAACCGGTGGTGCAGGACGTCCCTTCCGGGTGTTGTTTCTCAGTGCACCTCCGGGACCTGAGAACAGTCCACCAGAAGCTCCCTCTCCTCCTTCCTCAGCGAAGCTAACACTTCGCTTGTCTCTTCCGAGCTGCGCGTCCAAGTGCTTGGTCACACGGAGAATGTCACCTTCCTTGAGACCCAATGTACGTAGAAGCCCAGGAGTGATGTCTGGGATATTTTCTTCCGTCATTTCGTCCTTGGTAAATGCCCTGGCGTATCGTTCGCAGATCTGTGGGTTGACACCACACTTGAGGAAGAAGTCGAACCAGTCGTACTCTGGCTTCTTTTCGACGGAAATACCGGTTGGACCGGAGTCCTTCCCGCGAGGCTGTTGCATGCTCCTCCTCTTCAAATCCGATAGGGGTTTGTCGTCATCTAGAGACTCGCCTGTAACGCGTTCGACGTACTCGAGGTCTTCTACTGACATCTTTGTGACAGGTACAGCGATCTTGACGCCATTGACTTTGTGTAGGTGGATCTTGCCATCCTTGATGAGAATGAACTCTGCCTCGACCTTGAACGATCCGGATCGGTCGGTCCAAGTGCGTACCTTGGCGGAATCTAAGGAATTTGGTCAGCATCCTTGCACACAATGCGTGTTCTGTTGTCCCACTAGGTAGATGTTCAGCGCCCACGAACGGCGCAGAACCCTTTTCGGTAGACAGATCAAGAAACTCAAGTAGTGAAATTGCTGTATACTGACTTGGTTTGGAGCCGGACTTTGAACTCGAGTCCTTTGCGGAGCTTTCGCGCTTGCTTGATCTCTGTGAAGTACGACGATGGTCAACGTTTGTTTGCATAAGACTAGAGTTACGCGAAGGCAAGTGCAGGCCAGGGCCTACCTGATCGTTCCTTGCCTCACTTTCTGGCTTCTTCCGTCTCGCAGCCTGACGAGCAAGCTCCTCCTCCTCCCGCCTATTCTGTTCGACGACGGATCGGCCAGCGTTGGTTCCCGATCGAGCGATGGCAGCTGCGGGCGCGTGTATGGGGACGGTTTCTGTGACCTCAACGTAATTAGCTGGTACCACACCCTCTTTGCCGTTCTTCAGCCGCCTGACTTTCCACCACTCGTCACTTGCGGAATCGTCGAGGACTAAGATCTCGTCGCCGAGACCAACGGTAACTTCGTCATCACCCTGTGCCATGAAGTCAAAAAGCATAACTCCCTTCTTCTGCACATTGGAGTTTCCGGAGCCAGCAGCGAGTACTTCGCGAAGTCCTGCGCTCTTAGCCGCTCCTGCAAGCTCACCAAGGGCGAGCATGATCTCTGATGCGGTGTCTTTAGCACCACAGTGGAAGTCGACGCTCTTGCTTGGCTGCTTCAGCTCCATGAATATGTGTTTGCCTTCTTGCGAGTAGTACTCCATCTTGTCAGCGCTCCACTCCTGTTGCGGTCCGTCGCGCGACTTCTCGGGTGCAATCATGATCATTCCTTTCGGGATGTTGACACCCAGGGTGATTGGCATTTTCTTATTCTTGCCCGGCTGTGTAATGTACTCGTAGATGTTGTACAAATGGTATCCCGACCCCGACATGGGTGTCGCGGGCTGCTCGTCCCTGCTCGGAGGATCATATTGGTCGAACGTGACGCTTCGGGGCGGTGGCGATCTGACTGGGGGCGATGGGGATCGCGCGTGTGCGTATTGGGTAGGCGGCGGTGAGTAGACCTCGGACTCGGGTCGCTGGGGAAGACGGGGTGCTGGCACTTCTTCGTCCGACTCTTCCGGGGTAAATTGCACGCGTCGTTGCTGTCGCGGAGGCGCGCTTACGTTGGGCGGAGGAGAAATAGTCGATCGCGGTGCTGCCTCTTGCGACTTCTTCTGTATGATGCCAGCCAGAGCCGCAGCGGGACTCGGTTGTGGAGGAGTGTCTGGAGTAGGCGGCTGATCGTCATCGAAAGAGTCGGTCGCTGGTGGCATGGGCGGGCGACTAGGCAGCGCGGGAGATGGCGCAGCTGGTGCTCCTCCTGCTGCTCCCTCTTCAGTGAGCTCGATGTAGTTCGCGGGCGCAAAGCCATAGTCGTCTGCGACTCCCACCAGTGTCCAGTCCGGGTCGGTGGTATCGTAAACGTCTAGGACGGCGTCCTCTTTGAATGAGAGCTCCTCGTCCGTCTGGCGGTCGTAATCGAAGAGGGCTTTGGCTTGTGCGACTGGGGCGGCCTATACGTATCATCAGTCTCTATGCTGCAGCATTCCACACAATGCCTGGTGCGGCGTTGGGCACGGTTTGCGACGCGGATTGGGCTGTCATCGGGGTGAGGCGCAGCATACCTCTTCAATGTAATTGTTCGGAATCAAGCCCTCGGGCTCTTCCTCGTCGCCATCACGCCCCTTCTTCTTTGCTTTCCACCAGGCGTCGATGGTCGACTTCTCCAGCACCATCAAGATGTCGCCCTCGTTCAGGGCGATCTCGTTGTCGCTCTGGGGCTCATAGTCGTAGATGGCGCGATATATGCCGAGGAACACCATTGTGGCGGCTACACGTGCGGCGCAGTCTCAAAAAGCGTGTATAGCGTGGTGAAGTAGATTACTGAAGGTGTGTACGGCCGGCGTCGATGCGCATAAGCTCGGCGGAGGGCCACGGGGGTGCTGTTGCCCGGTCGAGGGGCCAGCTGGACAGGGGGAAGCTGCGTGACGCTACCAGGTCGGCGCCAGCAGCTGGAGAAGCAGAAAACAGCGAGATTCGAATAGAACGGGTTGCTTGGGGCGGTAGGCCGGGACTGCGGGATCGCTCGTGCTGTAGCAGCGGAAGTGGTGAGGCAGCTGCGAGTTGGGTCGACGATGCAAGTGAGGACTCAGCACGAGCCAACTGTCCCATACGGTCGTCCCCACCGACGACGTCAACCCGCTTTCATCCCATGTTCCTGCGACTTGTCAAGCATGCCGGCGGACGACTACCTGCATGACAAGTTCAAACGACTACATGAACTCAACCAGAACCAAGCATTACGGTGTATTGGTAGAGTAGATATTTCTTAGCGTCTGCCTTAGCTCAACCACATTCCGCGCTTCACTCAGTACGTAAACCGGAAACCTTCTGTTCCCTCTAGGAGACGCTTCCCCCTAGTCTGCCGCTTGTTCGCCATGTAGAAGAACACCGAAAACACTCCCACCACTCCGATGATCAAGATGTGACTTCCTATGCTGACCCAGATGGCCGTCATATACCTTGGACTTTCTGGTGCTCTCACAATGAAGCTTCCAGCAATACCGCCGGCGCCGTTGAAAGCTGTGACCATTGCAGCAGTGAAAACCCTCTTCCACTGGCCGACAACGTTGTTCGCCTGGTAAGTCGCCATGGCCGCCCAGTTCGCCACATACGCTCCGGTAGCAAGGTAGGTGCCTATATATCTCACGGTGACCTGGTCCGAGAAACCCAGCATACAGAAACCTACGATCAAAGTAACGCAATTGAAGACTATGATAGGCCCTCTCAACTGGAACTTGTCGCCGACGATCGAGGACAGGATAGCGGGAAGAACGGCGTAGTAGTAAGGTGGTGCGGACAGCAAAATCGCTTTGTTCGAAGAGAAGCCCATGCCGCCTTGCAAAATGATAGGTAGGAAGTAGGATAGCGATGTCGAGACAAGGTTTTGCAGGAAGTAAAGGGTGCAGAACCCGTACACTTTGAGATCCTTGGCGTGAACGAAGACTTTAGACCATGCGAAGTCGTCGGGTTTGACATCGCCCCTGTCGTTGTCGATCCGAGAAGACGCCAACGCACTTTCGTGAGGCGTGAGGAAGTAGAAGGAGTTTTGGGCATGCTCTGGGAAGTCGACCATCCACCAATATGTCAAAATACCGAAGAACGCAGTAATGCTACCCTGGACCTAAAAATTGGTGTACGAAGTCAATATCTATCTCAAACCAATTCGCACTCGGATATCACTTACAATAAACATCCACTGCTAACCCTTGAGATATGTGCCGTCAAGCTGGTTGAGTCCGAAATTAACGATGCCACCGGTTGCCAAGACAATGACTTCGCCACTCTGCATCAGAGCAAAGCGAAGCTGTTGCTCTTTCCGTGTATACCATGTTGAGATGAGATACGTCAAGCCGGGATAAATTCCCGACATAGCTATTCCAAGCAGAATGCGTAGTGCAATCATCTGTCGCCATGTCTGCACGAAAGCTGTGCACAGTGTGATGATGCCGAAGCAGAACGTGATGAAGGCAAACCAGATACGCGGTCCGAAGGTGCGCACAGCGATTGTCGATGGTAGCTGGAAGGCAATGCTCGCGATCGTGAAGATAAATATGGAAACAGAGTATCGGTTGCCGACATTTAGTTCTAGATCGCTGAGCATGGAGGTGACAGATGCGCTAGAGATGACGCCGCTGTCGAGTAGATTGAGCGAGCACAAGATACCAGCAATGCTGCAAAGTCGAAGGTCGACCTTTAGGCGAATACTGTTGCGCCACTCTTCTTCAATCCTATCTCTTTCTCCATCGTCAATCTCATCATGATGTTGGTCGTGTAATTCTTGGATGGACTCGTCCGCTGACTGTTGGCTGGATGCACTCTTCTTCATGTTCTCGCGATTGGGAGGGATGAGGGGTAGCAGGAGTCTGCGACAAAAAGCTCATCATGTAGGTCGCCTGTGGAAAGAGCCAGAACGTGCTTATCGTAGCACAATCCAGATTGGTGTACATATCCGGCTGCAGAAGCTCCGCACTTTCCCAGGTGCAGATCTCCAGGGCTCCGTTGCTTACCGAGGCGCGGTTCCGCACAACAATTCCGCAGCGAATTACTTAGCAATGACCAACCCGCTGATGTGGAGATCTGCATGCGGCTATCATAGACTTACTTGTCGCACATGTCGTCAGGCATGTCAAAGCGCCGTCCGAGTCTGGCGAGAGGCTGCCGTTGCGAATAGATCGACTCGACATACAGAAAGGCAGGCATCATCGGGGGTGGCCAGAATTTGTGTCGCAATTCCAAGGTTTGCTGCATGCACACTATTATATTACAGTAAGTAAGTTGTTTGCAAGATAATGTATACTTTGACTTAGCCATCTTCCTGAATGCGACACAGATTGTAGACACCACTCGTGGCGTAGCTCTAGTGAGCAAGACAGAGCCTCAGTCTTGGGTAAGCCGGTATATGCTGTCCAAATACCGTAAACAAGAAGACGCCTGCAGTCACTGAGCGAACATCGGACTTTGCCATGCGACTGTGATACACATCACACACCTCCCGAGAACACAACTCGATCCTGACAGGTCGGTTTCACGCACAATGTGATATACCACAAAGTCATACATGGAATTGGTGAGGTGGCCTGTCACGTACAACCTGAACTTCAAGGATGCGACATCAGTTTGCATTCGCAAAATCCAATCTGGGGGAATGGGATGATATTGATTTTCTCCGATGAAGGAAGACCCTTTCTAGTATAGCCACTGGCTCTCCTGGCCAGTGGTTTGGGTATCTTCGCCAAGCTAGATAGCGAGTGTGGGTATTGATCGTAACAGACAAGACAAGAAGAAGAAAAAAAAGATAATGAAAAGATACAAAGGATAGTCCACATTTCAGCAGACGAGAAATAGGAAGTAACAACAGAACTCCCAACATCCGAGTGAGTGCCGTATGCTCCGACCGCCCTGCCTTATGTGTGACCCGAATCCGACCCAGTCCATTGATAAGACAATTTGTGTGTGAAAGTGTCATTAATCTGACAACAGGGGTAAAATGCATAAACCAACCGGGTGTCCCAAAAGCACTCGCTTCGTAAGTCGTGAAATGAAGGGGAGCTCCTTGGAGGAACTCTCAAGAAGATCAGGTGTCGAAATTAAAAGGGTATAGAAATCAGATCGACGGAAGGGGGCAGAGGCCCCGCCGGGAGGAGAGCCTAGCCTTCATCCTCACCATCGTCTTCGTCCTCATCTTCATCCTCTTCGCTCGTGCTGTGACGCTGCACGGCACCTGCCTTGTTCTTCTTGATGGTAGGTGTTCCCTTGAGTTGTGTAGATGATGCCTTGCGCTTGGGGCCAGAGCTGGCAGGCTTGGGAGGCATGGACGCGTTTTCTTTGTTGCCGTCTTCACCCTCGCCCTTTCCGGCTGCGTTGTCCATCGCAGCCACCTCTTCTGCGGTCAAGAAGCGACCGCCAGGACCACGGGGACGGCGCATGGCGTGATTGTGCCTAGACTCGTGTAGGTATGGCTTTCGACCCTTGGATGTCAGCCTGAGTGCATCCTCGAGTTTCTGTCGCGCGAGACGCCTTTTCAAGATGCGATGGAATTGTTTCGCGTTGACATAGAGTGGCGCCTCTTCTGGTTGTGCACCTCCAGCGACAAGCTCAGGCGATTGTTGGTGCTGCGATTGCTGGGGCATCGGAGGGACGGAGGGTCTGGGGCCGCCATGGTTCATGACAGGCTGTGGCTGCTGCATCGCAGGACTACTGATTTGAGTGCTCATTCGCCTTTGTTGCATCTGAGTCGGGGTCATCTGAACTTGAGATGGGAGCGCGTTGTTCATCGCATTGGAAACGTTTGTCGGCGATCGTGGAGCGACGCGTCCATCGCCCTTCATCTGGGATACTGACATGCGTGGAGATGCGCGTGGGTCTTGTGCTAGTTGACCTGAGATGGCGGTTTGATCGTAGTATCCGGCTGGTCCTGCTGCAGCAGCCGTAGCTAACGCAGCAGCCTGTTGGTGTTGTTGCTGTTGAGAGGGCATGTATGGATTTTGCATCCCAGCCATGTAGGCCTGATGCTGAGGGAAGCCCATCTGCGGGTGGTGCTGGGGATGTGGTTGGCCGTTATGCGCGAAGTTTCCATTTGATGGAAGGATTGGGGACGACTGCTGCTGTCCGAACTGCATTTGCTGCGGGTTGGGCGCGGGCGCATGCCCGTGGAATTGTGCGTAGTCGGTCATGGCTGTCTACAATGCGTAGATTGTGGGCCTATTTGCGTGAAGACGAGGTAGCGAGAGGCTCGCAGTTGAGGCGCGTAATACAGGCAGGCGGTCACGTCGCGGCAGGGCCGATACTTGATGCGCTGTCAATGGCCAGGCGTGCTTGAGGCGAATTCGCTAGAGCGCACGGCTTTAGCTTCCAGGTTTGAGGCGCAGCAGTGGTGATTGGACGTCGAGGGGCAGTGCGCGTTTACAAATGATGGAGCGATTTGTCGAGGATGAAGCTGCACTCTAGAGGCCCGCGCCGTAGTAGTGGGGAAGAGCCGTTGCAGGTATTCACCAGTCACGAGAGGAAGATGAGAGTCGCCTACAATGATTGTCAGCCAAATCAAAAGAGCATTGGACGCTGTGCTGGCGGGGTGGGCGATTGGAAGGGATGATGCGCTGGCATATGCATGCGCGGTGAGCTAGTGCGCTTACCTTGTTTCGTCAGTTGGCGGGCGTCAAGGTCGTATTGCCGGTCTGAATGCTCTTCGGGTTTGAAGTCTAGGGCGACCAGCGAGCGGACAAATGTATATTGTCGTTGCGCAATGACAGCTTTAGCAGCGGCGTGGTCCAAGTAGCGGACAGAACGCGGGATACAAAAGGCTTGGTGAGCTTTGTGTTGCCTTGAATGCGACGTCAGCCTCTAGCATGTGAAGTGGAGGCAAGGCGCGCGAATGTGTAGCACCAGAGCATGCGGCATGCCTGTAAGCCGAAAAGGAAAATGAGAAGCATAGCGAGGGACGGTAATACAGTCTTGCGACGGCGACGGGAGTGAGTGAATCGATGCGCCGTCGCTTGAAAGGACTTGATCGTCGGACATGGTGATAACGAGTTGCATAGCGCGACGGAGTGGACTTACAGGTGCTTGCGTCTTGCAGGAAGATTGGATCCCGTGATCTGCTTGCCGTTCTATGGCTGCCCAGGTGGGAGATGCAGACAGGTCTTGAGTCCGGCCTGACGAATTGCTGAGAGCCGAGAGCAGGCGGTGCCTTTTGGAGGCAAAGCAAGCTTGGGAGCTGCGGAGAAGCTAGGGTGTATTCTTGTGGTGTTCCGCGCGCCAGTCCGCGCAAACACGTCTTGAGTGAGATGAAGATGGCGAACTTTAGTGAGGGAAAAATGATTCGTCGAGGAAGGAACGAGGGCAGGCGCTGAGGACGCTTTCTATTCGTGCCTGCCCAACGCGCTAAGCGAGCAGGGACCCGCTTAATACCTGGTGAGTCTAAGGCAGCCACACACGGCATCTCTCTACGTCACGACGAGACGGTATGCCGCTTCCCAGACGGAACGACACAGATGAGTGCGCGTATCTGTCTCTCCCCATTTCATTCTCGAGTTTTCACGTTGATACTGAATGATGGCAGAGTGTAGGCCATTCGAGCGGGGTTGGGATGCAAGAGCCCGAGGCTAACCCGACCCGTGACGCTCGTGGAGAAGGCACGTGCATTTCCAGCCTCCGCGCCGCCCGGGACTATCCTCCTCCCCTCACACGCGCTGCGATATCGAATTTCCTGGTTCAGACAAATCACAATTCACACGATCTAAAAAACAATCGGATAATTTGGTATATAGCCAACTGCAGGCGTCAGCTAAGCTGGCATATCGCGGGTGATTGGCGCCCCGTCGAAATTGCGCCCAGTGCCCCCAGACGGATGATCCGTCGGGGCTGTAGGCGCCAAACTCTGAACGAGCTCTAGCTTCTGAACCCACCACAGCGATTCCCAGCAATTCCCAGCAGAACGCTCCGCATCGAACAAGGAGTCGTTTGCGCAGCTACCTTCCATAGCCCTTCAACGTCTGGACGCGCTCGACTAAAAGCCGCCTCCTACGTCTATTGGCCTAGTTCCTGTCTCGCCTCCGTCTCAAGAACCCATCCAACATGATTTGGATAGCTCAATGTCATGGAGTACCACGTGAGCAAACCTCATTTCTTCCCTTCTCTTCAGACCTGCATATGTGCACCGCCGTCACATCAGCTGTAGCGTAAGCACAACAGAATGCAGATGCAAGTGGGCCAAAGTCAGACCCAGCCTCCACTTCGACGTCCAAGCTTGTGATCGTCAGACCCTGCTTCGCACGGGAAAAACTGTTCAAAACAAAGGAAATGCTCAAGCTGGACTGGGAACCTGGCTCTTCGAGCCGAGACGCATATCGTCCCTGGTCTCAAGACCGGTAAGCCTGAAAACCAGCCACCGATTTCTCCTGTGTCGCACATCGCTGCGTCATCCTAACCTCCACGCCTCGGGCCCGCGACAGTGGCTCGGCCGCTCTGCCAAGTCACACCACTTTGTTGATACTTCGGCCCATCCCTAACATGTGCTCTCGTCCGCGGCTGAAGACGGATGTCATCTACAATGCAACCATTACTTGGATGTAAGGGGCACTAACTCCTTGCCCGGATCTTTGCTTCGTGCTGCTTCGGCAAACCCGTCAACTCTAATGACACCCAACCCTACCTCTGCCGGTTGGGGGTAGTTTGGGTAGTATCAGCCGTTGTTGGTTGCTTTTGTTCTGGACTCTGACCGCGATGATGTGATTTCATTTGTCCAGGTTCCACGACAGTCAATCAAAAGCCTCACTCATGCCGTCGCATTTACGCGAGGTGTGATCCCAAGTACCAGAACCGTACCGATCCAGCTCGGCTACATATCTGCCAGCCCTAAAACGCAGCGTATCAGTTTCGATTGCTCATCATGTTAATCTAATCAGGTTACATCTTCCGCTGACGTGCATGATCCCCTCCACGCGTTCATCCTTCGTTTACCACAAGCTTGGTGTGCAACACACGAGGGCTTTTACAGGAAGTCGGCATTTGCAGAACTCGTCGTTACCGCACCACGCTTCATTCCACTCTTTACAGCATGAATACCGAATCTTTGCCTCGATAGCGAAATAATTAGTGGTGTAATCTTGGGTTCTTGCTAGAGTTTAGTTCAACTGCTCCACATGGGCTTATCCGGACACCCGTAGCCGTCCGTTTCGCGTTCCCCTTCGGATCAGGCATTTATCGTCAGCACACCCCGGATGAAACCAATGCGAGTAGGCAAGGGAACATCGGTGAAGTGCCTGTCGCATGCGTCACTACACTTGTTTCATCTTAATCTTGCTACACAGTGCGGCTCTTGCAGTCGTTGATGTGCGATTAGCATCTGCTCCATCGCAGATCCCCCAGACGTTCGACATTGCGCCCGCGTTCCCGCACCGTGGCAACACCAGTCATGGTCGTTACCAGGAGATGGGGGCTTACCGGCCTGTAATCTAGTTGCTTCTGCACGTGAACCGCCACTGAACACGGCAGTCCATGGCTGCCGGTGTGCGATAAACTCATCAAAGTTTCACGGGCACCTTTGATTGCCAAATCTTACAAGGGTTACAAAAAGCACAATATTCGACGATTACCACACAAACCGTGTCGAGGTGACTAACCTGGCAAATATGTGGCCATTTATCACAATTCTGATATCATGCTTTATGCATCTGCGGTCCGTCGGTAATTCTTGACAAGGTTGTGTTTCGTCTGAAGTCTCTCCGTTTGCCAATTGTACATGCGCTACACATGTTAATCCAAAAGACTTCTACGAACGTAGAGCAGATCGCATACGCGGAGTCAGAAGTTTGCACGGTGAACATTGGACCAACAGTTTCTCCCATAGTTGCTCCATGTCGAAGTCCATCTCTTCGATGCCTTTGTCGTCTATCACATACGTAACAGCGGATACGGCCCTTGTGATCTTGATCCATAGTGGCTTCTTTGGTGTATTGACATTGGGGTCCTCCTTGATGATCTGGCGGCGCGCCTCAACACCAGAGTGTCTTGCTCAAAGTGGAAGCTGTTAAACAGATCTCCTCTCTCGAGGTTGAAGCTGCCCGAATGAAGTGGGGCGGCGCGGATCAATCTCCGCACCGCCACGCCTGTCACAGGGCATAGCTGCGAACTTCGCGGCTGTAACCGTGTAGGAGTCCACCAACCGACCATCAACAGAAGACGGGTTGTTCTTAACGCTTAATCATGGAACACTTCGTCACCTCCCTTCCTCCAGCCGAAAGCGAAGCGCACAGGGCCGAGTATCAACCCACCAACATTGAAGCTGAGGCCAACAAGCAGCGCAGGAAAGTTCAGAACCGAAAGAACCAAAGGGCACATCGTGAGTTTGGTCTTAAGCATCTTGTCCTTAGCTGAGCTCATCTCGATGAAGGACTGCGGAACATAAAGCAAAACCCAGTTTCTGTTCAGACGTCGCGCCCGTTCCAAATTGAGCGCTGGCGCCTGGATGAAGCTGACGAAAGTCTATCCCATTCCATAGAGCCCACTGCTAAAGATGTGACGATCAACGCATCGATATCCATTCCTGAACGCACAGTAGACCTCTGGAAGCCGCCTACATACACTCCGGGTCAAGCTCCCACTTCGCTAACACCCCCGTCCATTGTCTTTCCCCTCTCTACGGATCACCTCCTTCACCTAGTTCAATACAACGTCTTCCGAGCCTTTGTATCAAACAAGCGTACTCTAAACGCGCTTCTTACAGGGTGGACATACGAGATGCCTCCTTCCCCAACCACATGTCCCATCAGCCTTCCTTACATCGACGACACGAACATCTATCCCTTGAATCCCAATATACCTCCTTCACTCTTCCCGACTCGCATCCAGCAAGAGCGTTTGCACTCTTTCTGGATCAACCTCTTTCCTTTTCCTTCAGTGCGCGACAACCTCATCAGGCATGAGGGACTCTTCGATCCCTGGGAACTATTGCAGGATCTCATTGGCGAGCTCATGGGTGCTACGCCAATGCAAGAGCGACGAGGTACGCCTCTTGCTATCAGAGTTTCTGACCCTAAGGTCGTGTCGATACCGCCGACCGCAGTAGTAGGACGTGATGAGGATGAGGTTACTGCGGGTCGCAAGGGACTCGTTGTTTGGGGTGAGCCGCACGACATGAAGAGTTGGGAGGCTACCCCTGGCTTTCTGGCTAAGTGGTCATGGGCCGTACAGGGATGCGACGATTTGCTTGTATCTAGTAACCGCTGGAGGTTGATGAGGGGAGAAGAACCTTTGCGTCTTCCTTTGATGGAAAATTAGTCGATATGTCGAACGCCTCCCAACGCGAATCGAGCATGATCTACCAGTGCAATCTTCGATATCACGATTTCACAATAAGAACCATGGCGGGTGAGAACATCAAGTACGGTGTGCTAATGCGCATGGATGTATTCATAGAACTTGTATCATGTGTCTAATTGTACACTGGGTTATCACTGCTGTCCCTTCCTGAACGCTCACTCATCACTCGGCAATCCCACAAGCTTGAGCGAGTCGTTCCACAGCCTCTCCGCCTTCTCCACATCGTAAGCATGCGGAGCATAACCAAGCGCAGTGTACTTGTCATCGCCTTCTTTGTATGGCTCCGCAACAGCGCAGTCGACGAGGTACTTGCCGCCCCTGTGCTTCCATGTTTCGCCGATCGCCGCCCATACCGATGTTGCAGCACCCTGTTCGACGCTCTTCATGGTGGGATACAAATGTTCCATACCTTTGAATGCGTCCGGGGGCATATGCTGCGTCAGCCCCGTCTGAACGAGGCCGGGATGGACGCTAGTGGCGTGTAGATGGCGCGAGCCATAGCGGCGCTCAATCTCGTTGGCCATGTATATGTTTGCAGTTTTTGACTGGGCGTACGCTACGCTGGGGTCGTAATGGTCTTTCTGGAAGTTGTAGTTGTTGGAGTCGTTGATCCCGCAGACGTTGTGCGCTGAGGAAGCGAGACTGACGACACGAGATGGGCGGCTGGAGCAGGCGGCTGCGAGAAGAGCGGGCTCTAGAAGCTTGTAGAACAGAAAATGCGACAGATGGTTTGTGCCGAATTGAAGTTCGTGGCCATCTGCCGTAAGGCGAAAGTCGGGAATTGCCATAATACCGGCATTGTTCACGAGTACATGGACTCTAGGAGTCCTGCTAAGAATGGCGGCGGCGGCGGCACGTACGGAAGAGAGGTTTGCCTGGTCCATCTCGATAATGTGCATACGCGAAGGTTCGAGGATATCAGCAAGGGCGGATTGGGCTTTGCTCGTGTCTCGGGCCGTGAGAAAGAGAATGGCGCCAGTGCTGGCCAGGGCACGAGTGGTTTCAATGCCGATGCCAGAGGAGGTACCAGTGATGACAATGACCTCACCTTTGAGTTTGTTCTCAAGGTTCTCGTCTTTGATGATCTGCAAGGCTGTTGGGCGCGCATCGCCAGGGCCATTCGGCTTAGCATGAGCTTCATCGTAATGAGGCATTCTTGTGTTGACGGGATGCTGGGAGGGATAAAGGTAGAGGATATGACTTGCGTAGATGGCGTAAGCTGGATTGATAAGATCTTGAGGGATTGGATTCTGAGTTTGGACGGAAGGAGGGGCAAATGAATCATTTATGTACTCAACTCACTCAAGCTCTGTACGCGACATCTTGGTCTCATTCGTAGACAGCGTCGCTCAAGAAAGGCACGACTTAGAAATCACCGTACGCTTTAGTATGCTTTCTCGGGGATAAGCTTGAGAGAAGGCTCACACCGCCGCTTCATATCGAAATCTGGGCTTAGTTTACAGGTGCGGTACCTTCGAATTGCTGATTTGAAAGGAGACGCATCATTCAGGCTGTGTGGATGCTTCGGCCCCAAGCTGCGAGCTAGGCTGAAGAGGGTGATAATGTCATCGGGTGGAGCTAGAGCTAGACTGCAGGTACGGCCGAAGATCCTCCGTGGCTCAAACGCACTACGCCGAAACGGGAGAAAATGTCATCGCACTCTGATGTCGACCCTCAACGGAGGTCTTGGAAGGCAGTACTCAAGATGATATGATCTATTCTTGTTAAGTAAGCATCATCCAAAGGACGGCGTTAAGTCATGGACTTACGTGTACCGCCGCGAAGGACTGTTGGCGACCTCGGGAATTTGAGGTAGACAGTCGTTGATGCTACCTAGGTACGCGCGAAACATAAGTAGGCGTCAAGTGCAACCCAATATGCAGTCAATATCTCCACTACTTTCCACTATCTTCACCTCCATCTTCAGTTCGCACGAAACTCTACCATTGTCCTCCAACATGGCCTCAACTCCTTCCACACCGAACCTCAGAGAACAAATTGAGGCAACAGCTCGGGCCTTCTTATCTGCATTCGAAGAAGGCGGAGCTCAGAGCGACGCTTCTATTATCAATCGCGACGTTACAGCCGACTGCACACGTCACCTACTTCCCGCATCCGTACCCAAAGCTTTCGGTCTTGCAACAGACTCGTTCTTCGACACGACCAGTTTCCAGGACTTCTTCGGGAATGACATCAAAGTATTGCTGTTCAAGGATAACACAATGTCGAATTTGATCATCGACACGGAGGCGCGCCGCGCCGCTTTTACAGCTAAATCCGACGTGTATGTTAGGAGCAGTGGAGAGACGTACCCTTCTGAGTGTGCTTGGTTCTTGTACTTTAATGAGGATGGATCTAAGGTCAAAAGGGTGGTGGAGTTCTGCGAAAAGGATGCTATCTTGAAGATGGCAAGCGATGTAGCTGCTGCCTAATGAGTCTAGAGTAGATACAGGCTGGAAGCTGAACAGGAGGTAGAGACCAAGATACGACCAGACTTAGCGAGCATATTCCTAAACAATACTATCTCTTGCAGCTCCTCTGCTGGTATCAGACCATTACGCCCTGAACGAAACCTGGTTTGTCTCTAGGCACAAGTCCAAGTTCACCTCTTCCAAACCCGAAACCATTGAAGAGATAGCCGCGGTCTAGGTTCATGCTGTCCATCAAGTCGGCTATGACATGAGCGGTGGCGATCTGCCAAGGTGGTTCGTAATCATCATGCCGTTATGTGTGTTGACCCGATTCATGAGAAGCTCCGGAGTGAGTCATTAGACCGAAGTGATCCTTCTGCCCCGCTTGATCGTTTCGCGGTTTAGTGCTGTCAGGACAAAGAACCAATACAATGTCCGTCAGGACTGGTGTATCTGAAGTTGATATGGATTTCATGCTTCCCATGTCGCGGACCGTGGGTTTATTCCGCTCTAGATCAGTAATCGGGCCAATATTACTAGCATACCTCCGCACAATAATTCAATAGCCACTTATGCAACGCCCAGGGCTGTGCGCAAGAAGCCAAGCCAATGAAGTTCACGCACAGTATAAGACGGGACAGCACTGCGCAATTTTTCATGAAGATAAAGAGAAATCAAACCCTCTTCTTACCACGAGAACGTCCTCCAACCATGGCCTCTTTCGATGAAACCTTCAATTCTCTTCGTCATCGATTTGAGGAAAACAAGCAGCCTATCCCTCCAGTTACACTTGGCGCCACCAGCAAAAATGGTATGGTACCTAGGAGTCCACCTTTCCCTGTCTCTTGTTTTGTTTCTGTTTTGCTGACCAGACGTGATCAAAAGGTTCTTTCCGCTACATGAAGGCGTTTGAAAAGGAATCCGACGACGCTGAGTCCAATGGTGTGCATTGGCTCGCCTCTTCCACCAAGCTGGTGACTACGATTGCTGTAATGCAATGCGTCGAGAGAGGATTACTAACCATGAATGACGATATCGCCAAAGTGCTGCCCGAGTGGAAAGATCCGAAGATTCTGACCGGTTTCAATGAAGAGAATGAAGCCCTCTTCAGGCCCGCAACGAAGGCCATCACCCTCCGGTAAGTCTTGACATGTCTAAGGGCTTACCACGTTTTGCTAACATATTATCTTGGTGACCAGACAACTGTTGACGCACTCCAGCGGCATGGCTTATACATTCATGGATCCGCTCCTGACCCGCTACGAAGAGCTTCAGGGTAAGCCACTGCCTAGCCCTCCCACATCTGTCGTAAGCTAGCTCACCCCGCTCGCCAATACCATTAGCTTACCACCAAGCGCTATAGGCAGAAAAGTTCCCCCACCACTTTCTCGTGTTTGAACCCGGTGAACGATGGATGTATTCGCCTGGCATTGACTGGGCTGGAGTTTTGGTCGAACGAATCACCTCCTTGAAGCTTGGCGAGTACATGCAACGCCATATTTTCGACGTCGTGTCTGCCAATGACGCTACTTTCCATCCCGACCAGCGAGAAGAGACGCGAGCTCGAAAGGCCAAAGTCTGGGAGCGAGTGGGTGAGAGGTTGCAGGAACAGAAGCAGCCTTACTGGCCGGACAGGGTTGAGGCAGATTTTGGAGGGGGTGGTCTGTTCGCAACTGTGGACGACTTGCTCAAAATATACCAAGGTGTCCTGACAGGGGAGCTGCTCCGGCCCGAGTCTGTCAAGGAGATGTTCCAGCCTCAGCTCGAGACACTCAAAGGCCTCGATGATCCAGCCGAGTACTCGTTGCCGTCCCGTAACGCTATCTGGAATACTGTCCCAGACGACGTCCCTGTCAGCTTTGGGATAGGAGGTTTGATCAACCTCACTGCAGTACCGAAACGACGCGGAGTGAACTCACTCACGTGGTCCGGCCACCCGAATTGCTACTGGGTAAGTCTTCAAACTGTCAATGTCGACTCTGGCTCATCATCAAACTATAGTGGATCGATCTCAGCAACGGTGTCGCCGGGGTGTATCTCTCTCAGCTTGTACCAACCGGAGATGAGAAGGCTATCGAGCTCTTGACCGAGTTTGAGAAATTTGTGTACTCGAGTTTGGATAAATCTTGAATGTTCATCCAAAATAGTATCAGCAAGGCAAGCTAGCTAAGAGAACATCACACTGAACGAGTATCATGTTCAACGGATACTCATACTTATTAGAGACTCCATTCCCATTTCTGTATGATAGTACGGTTGTCTCGATGGGGGGATGAGTCGCTTCTGCTCGTCGGATAGTTTGTGTTGTGTGCCTGTAAGTGTAGATGTTAGTATATGTCTTGCGTTGTATAAGTGGCTATGCCCGCATTTCTACAACTCGCGCTCCGCTCTGGTCGTGTCAGATCAAGCGACCACCTGTCCTTCTCTTCTTTCTCTACACCCTTCTCCGTCGCGAGACTAGGTTCACGTACCTTTTTGCTGAGCCACTAGTTCGGACGTGAGCTTCTTTACGCGCAAGCTTCGCGACCCCTATGTCAGCATCTTCGCAAGCCAACTTACCCTTAGTTTAACATCTTCACACACACCAGCTTCGTGGCACCCATATTGGTATCCTCACAAGCTCTCAAGTGGCGTCTTCGTTGGTCATCAGATCCGCAGATTAGATGGAGGCACGGAAGCTCGGAGTAAAGGTGCGCATGTAATGTATCGATTGAACGCGACGGTAGCTGTCTGAACCAGACAGCTCCGATGCTCGCAGGCTGAACCTCATGAATAGTAGAAAGTATGCTCAACGCAGGCCAGCCTATTTTTTGCCACCGTTCTTTTTCCAGCCCGCACTTCTGCTCTTGCGTCCATTGGCACCCTTCTTTTGTCCGCCGCTGCCCTTGAACTTGAGCCCACTCTTGCCCTGCCTCTCACTCGCCCTGTGGCCTTCAAACACGAAACCCTCTTTTGTTTGTGCCTTGGCGACCTTGCCCAGCATCGATCTAGCACGTCCTTGCATCGACTTTTGCTCCTCAGTCAACTTCTGCTTGTAACCGGCACCAGGGTTGCCGCCCGGCCTGGGTGCCTTGGATGGCGGTGGGCCTCTCGGCTTCTCCTTGTTCTTCTTCTCCGCTTTGCAACGTGTAATACGGAGTTTACGAGGGAGCATAGGTGGGTACATCTTTTCGTTGAGTTGCAGCGCGGCTTCGACGCCGTTCTCATCCACGAACTGGACGTAGGCGAAACCCTTTCCGACTCTTGTCTTGGCATCGCGGACTACGCGCACGCTCTCGATTTTGCCGCATTTGCCAAAGTGTACCCAGAGACCCTCTTCGATGTCAGAGGCGGCCTTCTTCTTCTTGGGCTTCTCGCCTTCTGCGACGGGTGTTTGGGACTCCTCGTCTACGAAGGGAAGGTTGCCTACGAAGACACAGCGGCGGTGGTCGACCTTCATGGGATGGGCTAGTGAATCGACATGGAGATGGCGGTTGAGCAGCATAGAGCCGTTGAGTTTCTTGACAGCTTCTCTTGCGGCTAACTTGGTCGTGTAAACAGCATATGCGTTCGTGCTCTTGGTAGTCGCGTCTATGATGTCTTTGGTTGCAAAGGCAGCGCGTTTGGGTAGGGAAGGATCGAGAGCCGTTGACCGGAAACGTATCGACTCGATCTTGTGCGGGGGCTTGTTATCGGCGAGATCAGGTATAAAGGACTCCAGGTGCTTCTTGAGAGCCTTTTCTGCGGGCTTTGAGCTTATGCACTCGACCGAGACGTTGCTCAGGAAGACAGTGCGGGACGCCTTCTCCACCTCGGATGCGCTCTCGTCGGTCTTCTCCATGAGCGACTCATGCTTGGGAATTGTGACGTCTTCTGCCTTGTCCGCGTCCTTGGTCTCTTTGCCCTCGTCTGCCTCATCCGAAGACTCATCCTCGTCGTCCTCGTCTGAAGAATCCTCGTCCTCCTCTTCTTCGGTCTTGCGCTTCTTCTGTCTTTGCTCCTCCTCCTTCTCTTCCTCGCGCGCTACTTTGCGCATATACGCATCCTCGATCTCTTCCTTGTCGCCTCGCTTGCGCTTCTTTGGCTTTTCCTTTGCGCCGTGCAGTACGGCTTCACCCAGTTTTGCTAGCGCGGTCTCGTCTTCAGATTCAGCGTCGTCGCTGGCATCCGACATGTCCTCATCTTCCTCTTCCTCTTCGTCGTCATCGTCGGAAGGCAAGCTTTCGGATGCCGAGCTCAGTTCCGCATCGTTCGCATCGCCTTCATCCTCGCTGGATTCTTTGGTCGCTTTCGCTTGTTCGCGCGCTTGGTACCGTGACTTTGAAGGGGCTTGCACAGGTCCGGCCTGAGAATTATTAGCAATCACTTTTTAGCACAGACATGCGATCAACGTACACTGGCAGCAAACAGCGATGCTAGCGCCGGGTCAAACGCCTTTTTGTCGACTTTGATGAGGGACTTGTCTGGCTTGTCTGACTTGTGGCTCTTCTTGGGCGTGTCCGTCTTAGCCGAGCGTTTGTCCTTTGATTTGGCCATGGCGACAATGGAGATGTTGGTGTTGGCGACAGCAAGCTCGTCAAAAAGTTTTGGTGGAGACGCTTCACGACGAACGCGCGCTAGGCCCAGCTGGGGCGTGCAGGCGGCAGAACGACACCGCCCGGGGCAGGGCAGTGCGGTCATTTGCAAGCCTCAGGGCCTCTCCCGGCCGTCGACCCGCTTCAGAGCGCAGTTTACACCATCCCGACCGAGCTGCCCTCCGCATTCACCACGCACTCACTCATGCCCGTCGCTGTCCCGCGTTTGCACCCCCTTCCGTACAAACATCGCAGACCTGCCACCCGGTCGCTCCTGCCTGAGACATCCCCACACGCTCCCTCGACGCCCGCGTCCCTCACACCCGCAGCTCTGTTTTTGACCGCTCGCCGGGCCCTGCATCCTCCACCCCCAAGAACGCCCATATCGCATCGCGAAGGCCCACAACACCGTCCCCGGCATATTTTTACGACATTGGTCACGCGGTGAGGCTGTCTTCGGCGTGGGCGCACTATGAGCGCGCCCGAACAGACCAGACGGAGCACCTCGAGAACAGCTGCCGGCCCCAGCGAGGACGTCGCGCACACTCACAGTACGTTGTCACCTCTTCTATCCCGACCCCGATGCGCTTTTTCGGCTTTCCAAAGGGCGGCGCTGCGCCTTGGGTCGCCGCTGGAGAGACTGTCGATCTTTGCGTCAACAACCGAGGCGACGACAGCGTCGCGAACCTGCCTCTCTCACCGCGTCTAGTACCCACGCCGTCCGAACCTGCACCAGATCTAACAGCCCCTCCCAGGTCCAACTTCGACCCTCACCACAGAACTACCTGACCCCACCTCCACCAACTCTTCCTTCAACCACTCTGCGCCAGCGCAGATACCCACACCAGCTGACCAAGACCCCACCGCCATCGCTGCTACGATGCTGTCCACCATGGCAGCTCCGACGACAGTGCTCACCGAGTCCCTGCCCGCAGAACAAGCTCCTAATGGCTTCGATGATGTTGCCGACAACGGCTCTAGCAGCTTGAGCGAGCTCGGAGACGCATCGGACGACCAGTCAGAGTCAACACCACGGCCAGCCGCAGTAGCCGATATGGACGAGGATGATTCAGAGGCCGAGACCGAGCGACTGGACAACACGCCTCGAAAGTTCGCGCGCACAGCGACCGAGACGTCATTACTCTCTGAGCCCATCCACACAAGAACACCGAGCAAGCTCGCGCACTCCAAGACCATCGAGCACGACGAATCTGCCCCACCCACACCATCTGCGATTACAGACGATGTTACCATGGGCGAAGCACCTACAACTGAAAACCCTCTGCATTCTCTTTCGCTGATCGCAGCATCAGAGGCAGCAAATCTCGAACACGTGGGCATGAAAAGAAAGCGTAGCAGTGCCGAGGGAAGCCCAATGGACGAGCGCGAAGAGGAACCATCACGGAAACGAAGCGTAAACGCGAAGGGCTCGGCGCTCGATGGCCTGGCTGATGCCGCAGCAGACAGGCAGGGGCAGATGGACGCAGACGAAGAGCTCGAGAACGCCGAAGAGCACCTGTCGGCACTGGCTCGCGAGGAGCTAGAGCTCGAGGAGCGACAAGCCAACATTGCCGCGCAGACTGTCAGCGAAATGGCCACCGTCGCGAAGCACACAAAACCAAGAAAAGGCGGCAGAAGAGGGAAACGGAAGACGGAAGACGCTAGCTATGCCTACGCCGAGCCGTTTGCAGTTGCTGAAGCCCACGAGGCTGAAGCTGAGGGCGAGCACGACGATGAGGACAGCGCTGTACTCGATGAGGAGGTCACCAAGAAGAAGCAGGCGATCGATGAGCTTGCAAAGATTGAGAAGAAGTTCAAGCTTTTCCGAGAGAAGTAAGCAATTCACTCAGGGCATGATCAGAAGGATCAGCTACTAACCGTTACCAGGCTATGCGACGAGCAAATAGCGCAACTCGAACGAGAGCTCGACATGCTCAAGCAGCCAAATTGTGTCCACCCCGAGTACGTTGCCATGATCAAATGCGTAGACGATCGACGCGCCGACAAGATCGCATACGAGACGAGGCTGTTGGAATACAAACAGAAGAACCTCGAGATAATCACAGCAGCAGAGCGGCATCAGATGCACAGCCAGTACTTCCAGACTGTGCGTCACATCCGCGAGGACATTCTCGAAGAGTGCAACCAGCGGGTATTCGAACTACAACGCGGACGACGTCAGCTTGGCTGCGATGACACTGAGTACATGGCGCGATTACCTGAGAAACGATCCGACCAGATCCGACACCAAACAGCATACAACCTCGAGGTCTCAATTCTTTCAGGTGTCGCCAAGTATGTTGGGTTCCCAGCCGCCCCAGATATCAGCGCTGCGCGACCAACCGAGATCGACGAGGATCTTCGAGCAATGAAGGTAAGTGGCTGAACGCATCTGCTAGAGAACTAGCAGCTGATTCGGCGCGTTAGATTGCAACGCGTGCTCCAGTGCCGCCCCCATCGTTCCGCACCTACAACAGAACGACAACAGCGGACGAGGCAGCTGCAGAAGAACAATTCTTAGAAAGCACGCCATGGGCCAACCCACGACATCCTTCACATCAAGAGAGTCGGTACCCTCCAGGGCCGTCACGCGTACCTAGCTACCAGACACCAGCTGGCCAGCGTCGAATGGTCGACCTCTCAGCTCCCAACGGATCTGCCTCCACCATCGAAGCGAACTCCAATCCCCCGTCGTCGAATGCTCCCAACGCCAACGGTCTGCTAGGCGAAGCAGAATCACCGGTCCTACACATGAAACGCGCACCGGTCGACCACATCACATACGCAGAGACACCTGGCTCAGATCCTCGCAACAACATGGGTGTTCTCAGTAGGGAAACGTACGGGATGATGTCGAGTCCCGCGGCACAGCACATGGAGATACCCCACGAGCAGGTTGGGCCACGCTGGGTTGGCAGCATGCGACCCATGAACGCAGAGCCAAACACCGCGCCAGGACCACCAGGTGCAGCCCGACCAGATGCGGCGCGAGCACCTCTCCCACAACGCAGTGGTCTCGGCACGATCAGCGTTGGCAGCGGCTTATTCGGACGGTGACTCGAATAAGCCCCACTGAACCATTGTTCTCATATCTGTTTTACTATCTGTTGCGTCATACCAGCAAAGTTTCATTGGGCGGCGTTTTCCTTGCGTTAGACTTGGGGGTTTTGCATCCATAGCGGGCTGGCCAGGTAACATGAGCATGACATGATGGGAGGTATAATCCCTTGGCGTTACCTCGCAGGCAGGCAGGCAGTCCTTATCTCCGCTTCCATGTTTTACCTCCCATGGAGGCTATGTCCATGTTCCCTTTTATTTCCGTTATGTTCGAGTTCATACTTAGACTCTTGGTGAGCGGGCTGTGCAATGAGTGTGTATGGTTTTAGGGAATGACGGAGATGATACCTTTTGAGAGTCGCCTTGAGCGTAATCAATGATATTCTATGCATCAAAGCTGGGCATCTTGCGTGCATGTGATGTCTTTGTGTTTGTGATCATCGCTGTGTTGGTTCGTGTCCGTCGCTGCCGGTGTTGGAGAGCGGACTTGGGAAAGCTTCAAATGACTTTGACAGGGTCACTTTTCCAGACAGAAACAGCATTGTTCGTCTGTTTCTCTTTTCGTGTATAGCTTGAGACACAGGGTGAGTTATCTAATCCACCCCATAAACCATGTATTTTGATCACCCCTTATTGAGAACAACCAGCGTATATGTTTAAACTTTTCTTAATCAATGATGCATGGTCCACTCATGCAATTGTGCTCTTTGCTCCACACACCTCACGTCATTTTATCTCATCCTGGAGATATACATCAGACGGCCCTGTACGTCTTTTGACAATTCTAGATTACATCCAACGCATGCCTAGATAGTGAGCATCCCTCATCGCACGGTAGAGCATGTGTTTTGGTCATCGTTCTGGTATTCCAAAGGCATAGAATGTTGCAGTGTTTAGATCGATGAGTTCATTTGGTGCGAGAAATCGCGAAGGAGCAGGAGACCTCATGTAAGGAGTGTTCTGATCTTTTGGAGGCCGAGAGACGAAAGCCATTCATCGTTCGCGATCCCTTTTTGGTGGAATCAGAACTCAGGAGTGTGTGAGGAGAGAAGACTTCGGGTGTAGGAAACGAAAAAGACAGCTTTATATATTTCCAAACACGCGGAGTCTTACTCATCGAAGATGGCAATATTCTTTGGAGTCGCCAGGCATACACATACTCTGAGGTCGCGATATTCATTGACCCGGCGGTGCGTCTTGCACATGTCCATGGGAACAATCACTTTTGACTTTTGAGAAGGAGGAATTGAGACATGACATACTTCGGCACGCGTTTTGCTCTTACAGAACATGACTCTAGTGATAAGAATATCGTAAAGTCAGGCGCGGGCTTGTACGTTTGAATCCTTCTTAGCCCCATCGTCATTGCGGTAAATGGTTTTGGAAAATTGTCGCCCATGTAAACGATACTTCGCATTTTGGTAATGAGAACCGGATTTTGGTTTTGCACGGAAAGATCGAGCGATATGATGTCTTATATACGATTTTGGGAAGCGTTGACCGAGACATAATTGGTTATCAGACTGTGGTAAAGCATACCGGCCGGCCTAGTCGTCAGGATTTGACTGATCGATATGCGTATTTCGAATGGACAAAGACCAAACGTCATGTTGCGACAACGGGTCCGCTGTACTTTGAAATGCGGTGCAGTAGCGGATCAAACTCGTATTGAAAACTCTACCACGACGCGAAGAGGTAACTAAAGTGAGTCAAGGCGCTTGATCGTCGTGATCACGTTGCGATATGGCCACGAGGCACATGCGTCAAAGTGGAGATCCCATGTGACAGCCTGGAGAGCTCCAGCGGCAACCTGCATGTGTCGGTTCGTAGCAGTTTTGTCAAATTAGCTTTTCGGATATGCAGTGATAGATGCGTGACCGGAGATGCGGCTCGTAGTGAAGTGTC